GGGATTTGCCGTAATGTGAAGAGCTGACTTATTATCACACCACAGAGGAATTGGAAGTGTAAGTTTGATCATAAAATCAGCAAGGACATAGCTGAACCAACGAAGCTCACAAACGGTGGCAGCCAAGCTTCGATATTCTGCCTCTGCTGTAGATCTGGACACAGTTGTTTGCTTCTTGGTTTTCCAGGAAATTAAAGTAGCACCCAAGAATATACAAAAACCAGTAAGAGACCGTCTAGAATCAACACAGGAGGCCCAATCTGCATCAGAATAGGCGGTCAAGGCAAGCTCCTGCTGAACTGGAAAGAACAAACCCTTCGAAGGACAGCCTTTTAAGTACATCAAGAGATGCAGCGCTGTATCCCAATGAATCTGGCAAGGCTTGTTAACAAACTGGCTCAATTGCTGGATTCCATATGTCAGATCAGGTCTTGTTAGATTCAAGTATAAAAGTCGGCCAATCAACCTCCGGTACTTAGCTGGATCAGAAAAGAGAGCACCATCATGTTGTGATAACTTTGTACCTTGGGGAATAGGTACACTATCAGGTTTTGCACCTGCAAGACCCGCATCCTCAATGATATCAAAAATATATTTTCTTTGATTGACGTAGGTACCATCTTGACCTTTAGCAATTTCAAGCCCCAGGAAAAATTTCGCATAACCCAAGTCCTTAATGGTGAATTTGGAATGTAAAAACTCTTTGACAGAGAGAATATCTGATTCATGGGTTCCGGTAATCAAAATGTCATCCACATAGATCAAAAGAAAAATGCTATGACCAGAAGACTGATGAATAAACAAGCAATGATCATGCTGAGACTGAGTAAAACCATAATCAGTGAGCTTATGACAGAGTTCAATATTCCATTGTCTCGATGCCTGCTTCAGACCATAAAGACTCCTCTTCAACTTACAGACTCGACCTGTTGAAACCTGATTGTAACCAGCTGGTGGATCCATATATATCTCCTCATCCAGATAACCATGTAAAAACGCGTTGTTAATATCTAGCTGGTGAATAGGCCAAGACTTTGCTGAGGCAATGGCCAAAAAAATTCTCACCGTAACCAACTTGGCTACAGGTGAAAAACAATCAAAAAAATCAACTCCCTCAAGTTGATCATACCCCTTTGCGACCAAACGC